CCTTTGGCGACTGGCGCGCTCTGCCGCCGGCACCCTCTGCCGCGCCGTCGCCACGGCTGCGATGAGCAGCGCAGGCTGCGGGAGCGGCGATGCCCATCTGGCCCCCCCCCCCAATAGCCCAGGCCTGGCCCCGCATCTCTCCCGCGCATCGTGCCCGGCCTGTCGCCCTCGACCGCCAGCGCCGAAAACTGGCTCATAACGTCGCCCCTCGAAGCGAGCGCAGTCGGTCATCCCCCGCTGCAAGACGCCGACGAAGGCTCCACCTTCTAGAGAAAGTCCTGGGCCACGAAGATCCGCACCTAGGCTCGACCCCATCCGCGTCGACGCGGGGAGGGCAGCGCGCGGCAACCGTTCCCAGGCGGAATCCCACCGGCCCCTGTTCCAGGGCTGGCCGCGCGCCGCCAGCGCCGCCTGGCCGCCTCCATCTCCCGCGCTGCGTCGCCAGCACCGCCGGGCAAGACGCGCATTTCAGTCGGGCCAGCGACCGGGGCAGCACGCGCTCTCCGGCGCGGAGGCCACGCGGATGGCTGGGGGCCGCGGCGCTGAGGATCATTGTTCCACGCCCCCCTTGCCCTGCGCCCGCTGCGAATCATGACAACCACTCGCCGCTGCTGGCTGTCAGGCGACCATATCCATCGGAAGAAGCGACGGCGGGAAGGCATACCTCGTCTCCGCGCTCGGGCGCACATCTCCGCCGCCAGCAGCTCCGTCGACGGCCTCGTGGATGCCGGAACGTGGGTGAACCTCGAGCCCCGCAGCATCTGGGCGACGCAGGGCCCGCACCAGCGGCCTCTCTCGCCCACCGACTCGGACCCCCCCAAACCCGAGTTCCTGGATCCACCTCCCAGCCCGCCCTGACACTTGCATCTCGATCGCTGGGGCTCGGCTCCTGTCGGGCGCCTTGCGCTCGAGGGGGCGGCGCCTGGATCGCCACACCCGCGCTGTCCTGGCAAGGGAGCTGCGACGATCTCTCGTCGAGCCACCGCCACCTCTCCAGCACCTCCTCGACGTGGTCGCCCAGTTCGGCTACGATTCCTCCCCGACACTGCAAGGCTTTGCCCTGGCGGCTGAGGGCGCTAGCACGAGCCCGCCAGGCCTGCTCGCACATCACCCGGGCCAGCCGGAGCCCCCCTCCAGGTCCGCGCCCGATTCGAGGATGGCGAAGCTTTCCGTGCGAACGGTGTAGTTGAACACACACACACACACACACACACACACACACACACACACACACACACACACACACACACACACACGCACGCACGCACGCACGCACGCACGCACGCACGCACGCACACACACACACACACACACACACACACACACACACACACGGAACGCACCATCTCCTTCAGTCGGCGCCGCCCCAGCCCACTCGGCTGGACGCGAGGATCCTGGGGTCCACGAGCCAGCTCCTGGCCCGCATCATGAATGATCTGGTGACCCTTCTGCGTGCTCGACTTGGTCCATCAGGCCGGTCATCAGGAGGAGCGGGGATCCCCGCGGACACTTGCTTCTTCCTGAGGCAGTGACGCGTTCCCCTACTCGAGCTGTCCAGCCTGCTGAAGTCGACGCGCCGCACTGCTGGCCCACGGGGCCACTGACCGGGCTGTACTGGAGCCCCCACTGGACAGCACGGCAGCCTCCCTAAAAATACCCATCCAACCAGCTGCTGCCGAACGCGAACTCGGGCTTGCCTCCAGCGATTTCAACCTGCAGGGTCCCGCGCGGCAGACCACGCCCGCCGTGGGTTCGTGCGCAGGGCAGGTCTCGGCCCCCCCAGGGCCCACCGAGGTCCGCATCCTTCTCGGAATTATCGGAGACCCTGCGGCCATCGACGTTGGGCGAGTGCTCGGGCTTCCCTCCAACAATTTCCAACAGCGGGTTCCCTCACTTCGGGTAGACCCCTCCGTAGGTTTCGTCCGCTGGCGAGTCTCGGCCTTCGCAGGGTCCACCCAGGGCCGCAGCGTTGGCGAGGTAATCGATGTCCCTGACCCGAGGCTGCCGACGCTCGAGCACCATGCCGCGTCCGCCACCGAAGTCCTTGGGCACGTACTCTCGCAGCGCCACCTCTGTTGGAAATACCTATCCCATTTCTAGCGGCCGCAACCGTCGATGGCAATGGCACGGCAGGAGCTTGGCTACACACCACGGGGGTGGCGCGCGCTGGAGGGAGAAAGTCCCGACCGAGTGCTGGGGGGGGAGCCTTTCGCCCACCCCTCCTTTTACGTACCGGGGGGAGGGTGGGCCGGGAGGGGTGGGAGGCCTTCCCAGCCCCCCCCCGCGGCGCGTTCGTCTGGTGACGCAACTATATGCGAGTCTGATGTAGCTTGGGCTGCCATGGCTGTGGCTGTCAAGGCCCTGCCAGTGGCCTGCTGTCGGATGCGCTCCTCGACGGCCGCTGCGTCCGGCAGCTCCTTGCTGCCCGGACTGCGCCAGCAGGCTTGACCACAATCAGCTGGCGCATCAGCAGGCCCAATGGACCCCTCCTGACCGTCGC